GGCGATGTCGGTCCTGAGAACCATACTGAAACCAACCGAAACCGTGCTGAAACCACCTGCAGCTGTGCTGAGTGGGCACGAGGGCAGGTGGTGCGTAACAAGGGCCCAAAACCGTGGCTCGCGCCCGACACATTCGGTTGTTAATTAAGATGGGCTGCTGCCTGTAGGCTTCGGTGGAGTTTGGAGGCCTCTTATTTGGATGCATTAGTGTAAGTTTCTATGAATGTGGGGAATGATGAGAGGCGTACAAACGCTGATATATATATATATATATATATATATATATATATATATATATATATATATATTTACAAGGAGCATGCTTACGGTAGCTGTGAACGCATGCACAGTTCCAGAAAGCCATCAGCACCACTGATGAAATGTAATTAGCACGCGAGACAGATCACCGAGTGCATCGGGCAAGACGTGGGGCGCGACGTCCCACCGCAGCCACACCAGTGAAACCATGGCCAGGACGAGCCCACTTGGCCGACGGCCGTTGGAGTGTTCTTCCGCGGGCGTGCCGATCCAGGGGGTGAACGCCAGCCATAGGAACGGCTGATAGCTGCATGGCGCTGCGCTGTATGACGCTCCGTCGCATGGCGCTACGTCGCATGAGGCTCCGTCGCATGGCGCTGCGTCGCATGACGCTCCGTCGCATGGCGCTGCGTCGCATAATGCTGCGTCGCATGATGCTGCGTCGCATGAGGCTCCAGTCGCATGGCGCTGCGTCGCGTGACGCTGCGTCGCATGATGCTGCGTCGCATGAGGCTCCGTCGCATGGCGCTGCGTCGCATGGCGCTAGGATGTCACTGGCGTAGCCGGCGGTCGGGGATACTCACCCTTCCCCCACCCCCACCCCCACCCCCGGTGGCGTGCACGGCGTCAGGACAGCGGTCCTTTACGTACCGAGTGGTCTGTCTCCTTAACGAGTTGCTAATGGATGTGAGAAGACCGGATTCGATAACCCTGCCACGTCATTCTTGGCGCGACAGCACTGTATGATACTTTCTGTGTCGTCATGTGTCGGTATGTTTTAATCCCTTATCATTTCCGTTGTTTTTGGCATGCTGTTTTGTCTCTTTGACAAATAACATATACACGCGTTTGTGTGGAGTGTTGCCTGATGTCAAATAGACAATGAATAAATTGTCGATGGTGCTCAGCGTACGAAGTCCAGCCGGCGACGTTGGTCACCAGCCTCACCACACGCCGCCAGGCACCAATGCGGTTGTAAGCGTCCCCGCGGGTTCCGAGGTCAGGACTGGTTCCGTTGTTGTCGTCGCCTTCAGATCGCGGCTGCGGGACGGGAACTGCTGCCACGAGGAGGTCGGTCTGAGCGAAGACAGGTGCGTGCCCCGAGACCCCTGCGTGCTGCCGTGTCGCTCGCTGTGATGATGTCCCAGAGGAGCGGCCGGTCCGCCCGAAGAAGCCGGAGGGATGAGGTGAGCCCCAGCGGCACCGGTGGCACGGGCTGCCATGCCTGTCAGCAGCGGGGCCCGGAGCCGCACCGGCTGTCCCCGGTCAGCTCAGCACCAGCGGCGTCCCGACGGTGCTGAGCTCGCCGGTCTGCTGACCGGCCGGGTTTGCGGGCTGCTGTGTGGCGTGTAGCGCGCCGGCCCGCTGCGGCAGCCGGTGTGGCCGGAGCGTCTCCCGCCGCGGCACCACCGCACGGGATACCACTGCACTGGATACCACTCCACGGGGTACCACCGCACGGGATACCGCTGCACGGGGTGCCACCGCACGGGATACCGCTGCACGGGATACCACCCCACGGGGTACCGCTGCACAGAGGACCGCTGCACGGAGGTATCACGGCTCGGGACACCACTGCACGGGGTACCACCGCGCGGGAGTATCACTGCACGGGATACCACAGCACGGGGTACCGCTGCACTGGATACCACTCCACGGGGCACCGCTGCATGGGGTACCGCGGCACGGGGGTATCACTGCACGGGATACCACTGCACGGGGTACCGCTGCATGGTGTACCACTGCACGAAGTACTGCTGCACGGGGGTATCACTGCACGGGGTAACACTGCACGGGGGTATCACTGCACGGGATACCGCTGCACGGGGGTATCACTGCACGGGGTAATGCTTCGCGGGGCACAGCTACACGGGGTACTGCCGCACGGGGTACAAGGGGTATTACTGCACACCCCCACCATCCCTCACGGAATCATAGTCAAGAGGGGGTCGGAGGCGCCCCGTCGGCCCAGGGCGAGTCTCGTGAACTGGATGGACACGATACCTGCGCTCTTGCCACTACCCTGGGTCCAGTTTAACGTAAACGAGTTCCTGACAAAGGCCAACTTCCAGTGGGAGAACATGGCGACCGGGTACATGTTGGGAAGGTCGATTGCACTTAAAGGGCGTCACCAGCGATGCATACGCTGCTGCATCCGTTGTTTTATGTCGTGTACGCAGGCACTTAGCGTCTATTATTGCATCACAATTACAAAACCTTCCACTACAGATGACGTGTCTTGCATGATGTAAAAAGCTATTTGCGCAGCACCCTGAAAGGAGTGTTTGACGTTTGTATGGGTTTTGGAATTGAAATAGCCAACTTGAAGATCATTCGGTGCAGTTCACAGTCCTGCTTTTCTTAAGACCTAAAGCTATCTAGTTTCTGAGCTACACGCCCGCGAAGATGTGCGGACTATCTCGTGCAGCCTATTTCAAGACCATCTGGGCGTCCATGACGCTAGAACAACGTCATTCAAACCCTGCCATTCCATTGGCCATGCGGAAATCAGGGCCTACAAAAAATGAAATTATCGAGTCGTTCATCTTTGGCGTTCGTGAGCACGATTGGCAGATATAACGGGCGTCAACTGGCTCATAATCAACGTTGTGCGAGGTACGATATCACAATCAAAGACGTATTGAGGAGCATATTCACTAAATAGCGAAATTATGTTGCCTGCAACAATCTTTGCCATTCGGAAGTTTGTTAATAGTTATAAGTGGGCTTATGTCATCATATATGGTGCTTGCTTCATTGCCTTCAACTGTGAAACATTCCCTTTAAGGCCTGTCTTGGTTATATGAAGTATTGAACAAAGATGTAGAATCCAAATGAAGACCACATGTGTCTCCCAGTCGCGGTTCGCGTCATTCGCAATCGAGATGTGAAATACGCTGGAAGGACCGGATAAAGCTGGAATGCTTCTCGCGTGATGTAGTCAACCATCAACCATAAGAGCAGCAGCCGACCAAAACATCATATCTTTGCTATGTCCGCCCAATGTCGGACTTCTTTCTGCGGAGAACAATTATCTTATTTCATGAACTCTTGTGGACTATCTTCATGGGCTTGTGTTATTGTCAGGTGTCAGTCAGATAGACCTTCACATACCTTAGCTTATATCACTTTAGCTTGGCTTAGCTTGGATATCCTTAATTAGGTTGGAAAACTGGTAGAGAACTTAGTTATATGCGTTAGGTCGTGCGCCGAACGGATAAGATGGGTTAGCGGGAAAACGTGACCGATGGAGTTGCTTATTCGCGCGCTGTCTGTAGACGTCTTCTCCAAGTGTGAAGTGAGAGTGGAAACCAAGTCATCTGGACTTTCCATGAAGCAATGGGTGCACATTCAACAATTATATGTAAATATACATCCATATATATGGTGTATATATATATATATATATATATATATATATATATATATATATATATATATACATATATGGTACCACGTGTCAAAAACTAGATGTCAGAAATATTTGTGTGGACGAGACACGTGGTTGTCTCAATACCCCCCGCAGCTGTCCACCCGTCCATGGTTCGCTTTAACGATAACACGAAAAGCTACTGCTCAGGTAGTAGCTGACCATTTTCAGCTGGACATCTTTTCCATGATTTTTCAAATAGCTGGTCTAGACAGTGCGCGAAAGGAGGGAGTCATTTTTTTTTGGGGGGGGGGATGTTAAGATTGGGAAGACACGTGCAGGTGCTGGACGACAATCGCTTTGAACGATCATGGTTAAATAGAGTAGCTGGAGTGACGTGTGTGATTGGGAGTAAGATGAGGCTGTAGATGCGAGGTGGAATGCACTCTGTTCGAATTCGAGCATGGGCAGAATTCGTGGGGCGCTTGTTTTTGGTCTGTTAGTGCCACTCACGTGTGAGCAAATGGACTCATCCGCTGTGAAATGCTTATGCATTAGGCCGAAACTGAGATGAGCGCGCAGATCCTCCTGAACACCTATTATTGCTACATCATTTTAACATTTTTCTAGGTTAAATTTTTTAGTCATGCACCCTTTATTACAAAGGCTGGCGTATGCCCCGGTGACCTAATGTTCCAAACTCCGGTCAGATTGCTAGTCGGCACTCGTCGCCGTCCGCTCCAGATGAGAAGAGTGCGCCACCAGCGTACCACCAGGTGTCGGGCCGGGGCCTGCATGCGAATGTCTCGACGTTGTGATCAATGTTACAGATTAACCGGACAGCTAACTATGGTGAAGAGCATCCCCGTCGCGACTGACCCTGTAATGAAATAGGCTCATGGGCGAGGCTGAATGCTCTGAATTTTCGTGTAATGTTTTGAATTTATGGGAGTTTTACTTTATTTGACATATGAGATTTATGTGCAGGCAGTACGAAGCAGATACACTGTTTTTTGCTTTTATAGCAAACTTCATATGTCTCAATCCCGACCTAGACGTTACTTGGTTGCATTGCTGCGGGGCTAGAAGATCCGATTATCTGCGAACGAACGGCAAATGATCTGAGGCGCCGGGATCGAGTCGGATCGGATAGGCTTCACCTTATAGGGAAATTTCAGTAATTTCTAGGGGTATTTCGGCAATTTTAAATAACACCTCTAGTTTTTAAAGAATATTGTATTAAACCGCTAAATTTGGTAGCAATTTCAATTGGCCATCTAACTCAAGGTCCTAGATTTGGCTGCCGTTCGTTGTCAGTCCGATTTGTACCATCGCGTTGGGCGCGCTGAGCGTTGTCGTGCCGGGAGCGGTGGGTGTGTGTCGATGTGGTTGGTGACTGAACAGTTACGCTCATATTGTCCAGTCATTCTGTGTGCATTCGACATTTCCAAAGTGGAGCCTCCTGTGCCCGGATGCTGTTGCTGAATTAGCTGTCCAGTGCAAAACGTACCAAATTCGAAGTGAAGAAACAAAAGTTACTTCTGTACATTATCACTAAGCTGTCGAAGCTGCCAAGCCCAGAAAAAAATGTGGCCTGTGTATGTTGGTAAATGTGAAAGCAAGATGTAGCTGACCTTGTTCCAAACTTGAATCGGTATCGTTCCATTTGCACTCACAGTATAGGTGACAATTGACCTCATCAGCTTGATACGGTAGCGGCTTGAGCTATGCCTATCTGTGTGTAGCATCAAGCCAGCAGTGCATTTTATTGAAGATTACCAAGGGACCATCCAGTATTTGAAGATTTCAAGCATGGGGAGACAGTGCCTGCTCCCACTGGAACTGGCAGATTGCCTTACAGACAGCCCACATTTCCGTCAAAATCTTCATGCGTATGAAAAGGAACTGGAAAACACTAGTGCTTCAATCAAAACATTGGTCAAGGACATCAAAGAGGTGTTGGATGCTGCTAAACGTGAGTAATGGCCTGATTGATTATGCAATGCTAGTGGCTGGATGTGCTGTGGCATTGCAGTGTATAGTTCTGCTGCTTTGACTGCAGGACTAAGAATGAGAGTTTTATTGTGTTTGTTCTGAATCAGTCCTGAGTTTATAGGTCACCATGAAGTTTTAAGACATAGTTGTGTGTAAAAAGTGCAACAAGACATATTTATTTGCCTTTATGCAACCAGTGTTCATTATGATATACAACTAAGTGAGATGCATTTACAGCATTATGTGAGTATGATTTCAAAGTGCTTGAAATCCACAAAATTAAGCACCTGAGATTTCCTTATGCTTTGGCTTGTATGTATTCTAACTATACTCTCTTTTGGTCCTGGACATGAGTTGTTTCACTTAAGCAAAAACTCTGCAGCAGCTTCTCTGAGTCTGTACAATATGATAAACTTATGTATCCACCTATTTAGATGGAATTAGTTTTGACTGATGTGCTGTGTGTTTGGGTTCTGTTCCAGCACCTCCGAGTCTTGTCAGCATGGCATGTCTGGTTCAATTATATTTCTGACCATGCAATGTATGACTAAATTGTAGTTTTAAATTGAGCATTCAACTCATGCAACAATAATTCATGGAGTAACTGGTTTTGCAGGCTTCATAAAAGCCTATTGATTTTATTAATAGATCATCTAGACATGCCTGTGTTCTTCATTGAGCGCATATGTTAGGTGCAAAATGTGTCCTTTCAAGTACATTTATTTGCCTTCTGTTTTAATGTCTCAAACAGCATATTTGGTTGGCTTTTGCTTAACTCTGACTCAGTTCCACAGCAAAAGCTTAAACAAATAGATTCATGACAACCCAAGTAAAATATCAGTGATTTTTAGTCTATTTTGACTCCAGAGTCATGGTGGAGTCAGAATGCATCAAAAATAGGAGGCCCAAAGGGCCATGCTTCCCCACAAGGCAATCCGCTGTCAGCAGCACCAATTCCAGTATTTTGGTGGTTCATATCCCCAAATCCTTGGCTGTCCACCTTCCACAGTATCATTATCAAACTACAGGCCTGTTGGTTCAACTACCAGGCATTAGTACCTGGTGATGCTCATCCTAATGTCTTCTTGAACAGTGCACTTACTTTCTCAAAGTGGGTTGGGGAGGAAGAGTGGGCAGTAAAAACTTACAAAACCTACCACAAATATACACCAATAAACAGAGTTTTCTCCAGATTGGGCCCACATTCTTAAAAGTTTGGTTGAGGGAGGGAGGGAGCTGAAGCCAAATTCTGGAGTGCTGGAGCTCTTGCTCAACTGAATATGAAATGATACCTGTGATCCCAAAGTGTTCTTTGAAGATAATATTTCCCTGGACTTTGAAGTAATAAGCTTACAGGGGTCTCACTTTTGTCATGCATTACTATAAACATCATGATATGGCTCATTTGCAGTTGTAGCTGGCCAGTTTAAAATACCCCAAGCCCTCTGCAGGGATTGCGCCAAGCGCCGTCGAGCGCCGCTCCCGGACTTCCGGGGCTGGGTGGGGTGGGGCTTGGGGGGGGGGGGGGATCGTAATCGACAGCCGGGCAGGACCACCAGCTGTTGGAGCACTTGTGCCAGCAGTGCTGGCTGGGTCCGACTGGTGCGCACGTGCAGGTACACGGACAGACGGCCAACCCAACCCCGACCTGACATGGAGAGCACGGTAGATGTAAGAAATTATGTGTTTTTAAATGGAGTGGTTAACTCATCCCTCTGCTATAGCAAGCCCAGCCTCATTTGACACGTCATATGTGGTAAAGGTCATTTGTCAGGCAACATTTTGAACGGCTGCCACGCTAACCAACTTCCCTTAAATCCGTTTCGGTTTCCAGTTCCATCTCCTGAAGTCCGCATCGGTTTTGACCTCAAATTATGCTGCGCGCGCTGCCTAGAGTGCGGGTCTGAGTCAACTCCATTCGCTGTAAGGGTGTTCATGGACGATTCCGCCCAAAACTGAAAAAACGAGTATTCTACAAGTCTGGAGGGGGGGGGGGGGGGAAGGAGGGTCTCGCTGGCTCGTTCGCACTATTTGTCCTAATCCTCGTTTGCTCCTATTGTCATGAGCTATCGCGAACATGCTAACAAATCGTCAGATGTAGTCTTTCGCTCAACTGAGCGTGCCGTAATCTTCCGGTTGGACGTCCCCAATCTTCGAAGGGAGTGGGGCGCAAACATCCACGTCTCCCGAGCGCGTTCTGAACCGCTTGAGGGGCTAAAGTTGAGCTCGCTGAGCTCGAAACCTTTTTGGACACGACCTGGAGGTTTCAGCGTTCCAAAATAGATATCAGGGATAATGTAACCGGTTACGCGTTACAATAAGAGCGCGTTGACAAAGTTCTGCGCTCCGGACAGGTGGAGATCGACATCCCGCCATAAGTCACTGATTATGCGGAGCGCAGCGTTTTTCTAGTGGTTCCGGAGGTAACCAGTGACTTTAAAGTAAACATTGTTGAACAAGTGTGCGACCTGGGAATGTTGAGTAAAGTCAGGGTCACACCAAGTCAAAGCGGTCCGTCGGACCATTTTGATATGGTTCAAAACGGCAAGCATGTGCTGATATCGTAGTAGAGGTTATTCATGATCAATTCAGATCAGGTCAGAACCTGGGTATTGCCGGGAGCAGTGTTCAGAGACCTTGCAGTGCGCCGTTCTCGTCGCACATGATTGAACAAGTTTATGGCCTTGTCCAAAGTCACTGCCATAGTAATGGACTGGTGACACCTGGCGATCTCACGGTGCTGTTTGAAAGAGAATCGTGGCACCCTTCCACTTCAACCAACTTTGCTCCGCGCCCGTTCGGAAAGCTAACAGAGACAGCAAAACATGACTTCATCAAGTTTGGCCAGACCTGACACGTCAAACACAAGCAACGGCTTAAAATGGTCTGCCAAAAATGGTAGATCACGAACTGGCCCATCACTGGAACCACCAGTTTTGCATTTTTACTCGAGCACATTGCTGTGGAGTCGGCAGTGGTTCTTTCTAGCCCCGTCCCACCCACCCCGCGGGACTCAGCGAAACCGGTGAAGCCGACGACGGTGAACTGCGAGCCATTGCAGGCCACGTCTCGTCTCCAACATTGCTACCCGGACCCAGCGTGCTCCTGGGCGGCTTGCGCACGCCCCGCCGCCCGTCGCCCGTCCCCTGGCGCCGCCGGCCCAGCCCGGCCCAGACTGGGCCGCGAGCGGAGCCGGAGCCGGCCGGGCCCAGCCTGCGGCGCTTCTGTCAGCCGGCGGCGGCTGTCGCTTGAGTCATGCTTCCGCCGGCGGCCGGCCGAGACCGCCGCCGGACCTCCGCGTGCCAGGCTGGACCCCGCCGACGCAGCGCCGGCGCCCCGCCGCGATGGCGCGCCGGTCCACGCCCAGCTCTGCCGCGTGTCAGAGGGGCGCGCGCCGACCCGGGACAGGGCCAGCTGGCGTCAGAGGCGTACTGTTAGGGTTGCAGACTGAAAAGACGGGGTTCGGTCCCCTCGTTTGGCGGGGTTGTTTTGTTCTGCGATGCCTGCGCTTGGTCCCTTCATGCATACCCTGACGTCATCCATCGTGGTCTCAGTATGCAACTACCCTCCCCCGGAATAAGTTGGTGCCAGTGTGCTGCGCAGCCTGGTGTTGTAGCTGAACACTTGGGGACCATCGCTCACGGTTCGTGTGACGGAGTTGCACCGGTGCACGTCGTTGGTGACTTACTTTGCTTCGTCCTTGGGTGTGTTTGACCCGTTGGTCCGGTCGCTTCCCCGCCCCTCTCTGTGTTACCCTCGATGGTACATACGACTCTCTGTCTCTCTGGTGGCGTACATCTCCGTTTCCGCGTAAACGCAGCCTCCCTCGATGCCGCTCTCTGCTCTGTGCCTGTCTCCTCCGTCCCGTCGTCTGACCCTGTCCACGTCTTCGGCAGAGCTGTCGCGGTGCCAGCGGGCGTTCGCCAACAGCCTGGACAAGTTCCAGTTCGACTGCATCGGCGGCTCGCAGACGGACGACGAGATCGTGATCGCCGGCTCGCTGAAGCAGTTCGCCGCGCTCATCCACCTGATCGAGGAGGAGCGACAGCGCATGGTGAGCGCCGGCACGGAGAGCGCGGCGTCCACGGCCGTGGACGTGTGGAGAGGCTCCTCCACCTGTGGAGGAGCCGGCAGCGGGGAGGCGTGGGGGGGGGGAAGGGGCAGGGTACGACGGGAGCCACCGAGAGGCGAGAGTCTCGCGTTGCACGATGCCGTTGTCCTTTTAGAGTGGGCCAAAGACATTTTGTACGATATGTTGTGCTTGGGGGTTTGGAGCAAGGCGTTTTCGATTGGTCATTTGGGGTTTGGCCGCATGGCTATCTTCCGTACTGGCGTTGGTGTCTGCGCATCGGCGTCGGCGTCGACCTCGGCATCGGCGTCGGCGTCGACCTCGGCATCGGCGTCGGCGTCGACATTGGCATCGGCGTCAGCATCGGCATCGGCATCGGCGTCAACGACAACGTCGTCGTTGGCTTCGGTGTCGGCGTTCTCGCCAAGCATAGTTTACTAGGTGGATACAAACCACGCCATCAAGGTGTTTCCAGTTACGGGATAATTTACCGCAGCCTTTTCACTGAATAGTCATGTAAATCCTAGCGTGCCCCGTAAAGCTACGACGCGATCGGCCATGCTAAAGCTTGCCTGCCCTACCATTAAATTTGCAAGACGCACGAAACTGCTACCTGTCGTGCTTTTATTTTGGGCCATTGGCGTAAGATAAAACAACGTCTTGACTGCACCGACCCTTGGTATTCATCGCTGAAACAGGAATGAGAGGTCGAAACAAATGCAAGCTTTTTGGCCTTTATGTTTGCACGGTACGAATAAAAATTGGTCCAAATTGTATTCAACCTTCGTGAAAAGCACCATGCTGACCACAATTACTAACCACAAGCGTTACGGGCCATTTTACCCATGCTATTCGATCAATTACCAACCTAGCGCCCTGCACAGTCATACAATTTTAAAGTCGCGCTCGAGACGGTGCACAACAAGGTGAAATTTCTCATGGAGGGACATCAACCTAACTTGACTCTGAAGGCCAGCTTGTGCTGCGTTTGCCCCGCCTGTTAGCGTCTCGCCTATGTGTCGCGGCGCCACGGTAGGGCCATTCCCGCCGTGCTGTCGGCCGCCGTCGTGTGTCACGGCGGCCGGCAGTCGCGCCGCGGCCGCCGCCGGCCTGCAACGCTGGCCGGACCGCGGTCGGTACGTGGGATGACCGGGTGATGTCACCGTTCCGTAGAGCCTTGCTCCGGCGGTGCGGGGTGGTCCGCGTGGGTGGGCGCGCGCGGGTGTGATGGACCGAACACTCGGATGCATGACCTGAAAGGTATGCAATACATAAGCCAGGAGGACGTTGCACTGGGAAAGGCCGGCCTAACAGTAAACAGCGGACGTGTATTTATGATCGTGGTTTTCCGATATGCCACGAGGAGTATATCACCATCCATAAGCTGTGCTGTGCTATACGAAAGGCGACAGCATTTATCACGCGCGCCGATCGCGCACGCCGGCCACCGGGCTGGACCCTGGCCGGGGCTCCGCCGGACGGCGCGGCCCGTATCAAGCCGGCCAATGGCGGTCACCGCCACAGAACCGGGGCAGCGGATCATTTTTAGGCCGAACTGGTTTGCTCGTAGCGTTTCTGGGCCGGGCCGATTCCGATCAAGCGGCTGCTTCTGGGTGTGCAAGGACTGGTTTGGCTAAGTGTTACTTGGCTAAGTTTGGCTGCCCTGGACCGCTATGGTTCTCGCGGAGGGATTGCTGTATTAACGGCTGAAGCGTGAGAGTTGCTCCGTGACGTGGTCCTGAGAGGTTCCGTGCCTTCCATATCAGTCTCCTGATACGGAGACAGCAGAAACCCGTCCAACATTTGGCACTTTTTTGTGACGGGGGAATTTCTTTTCAAACGCGCACACCCATTCGCAATGGTTAAGCATGTTGTTAACTATCTCGAGGAACAGAAAATGTTCACTGCTTTGAGTTTGTTTCACCACGACCAGACAGTATCCAACGCCAACTTCGTGCATGGAAGCCACCTTTGTGACCGAGTTTTTCCTCGCATTGCGCTGTCTCGGGGTAGCGCGAGACTACGGGCAGCTTACGAAAACCGGTGTCAATTGTTTGTAACCTCAGCGGGGGGGGGGGGGGGGGGGGCGCGTCGTATTCTGGCGCGGCACAATGGCGCCCTGATATGATCTGGGACATTCTTTTCACCGGGATGAGGAAACGGGCTCTCTCCTTGCCAGCTAACCACGGACAAAACAGCGGTCCGGGTGCCGAAAGTGAGCCCTGTGAGCGTCGGCGCGTCCGGACCTTGACCGCGGTGGGGGCAGCTCCCTGCCAACTCTGCGCACGCCGGTTTCGTAAAGTCATTTTCGCTGCGATGGCTCTTCAACATCCGGAAGCGCTCGGGCAACGCTTTGTTGGGAGCGCGCCGCTGTGGGCGGGCCGCGGGCCGATTGCCAGCAAACGTCCGCCTACGGCATAACGGTCGGAGCGTATGCTGGCTCGAAGGTGATGCCGTTTGGCTTTCATCTCATTTGCCGGCACGAACTACAGAGCCTGCCGACTGGGACCGGGACTAGAGCGCCTTCGGGTGAACTCCCAACGCTGCTTCTTGATCTTGATGTTTGAAACCATTCAGTTACCAGCCAGACCGCTGGCCGAGTGAGTCTAAGTTGAAATATATAATTTCCAACGTGATCGGTCGGACCGCCACGCTCTTTCGAAGCCAATATCTTTGAAATCACTGATGGAATGTTCACAGAGCTATAGTAACAGGAATCCCATTTTCTTTTTCGACGTTTTGCTGCTTGAATTGTTAGTTATTTGAACACAACGTGCTTCATCAGACGGTTTTCCTGCGACGTTGCAATATGACCACAGTTTCACCTCACTCTTTCCATTAAGGTGGCGAACGTGCAATTTTCAAGTCGCCGGAAGGCTGGAAAATGTGGGTCGGAAACTGGTCCAGATCTCGGGAACGGGCCATCGCAGCGACGTGGAACTGATAACAACGGGGGAGACAACAATCATGTTGGCACAAGTGCGAGGCCGTTGTATACAGACAACCGCTCTCCTTCGCAAATCATGGACCCGCCCATTTTGAGGCGTTTGCAGGATTGATGTCAGATTTTAGTGACCAGATCAGGCAGACACGAAACGAACCGGAAGGCGCAGGCGAATGCACCATCTTCAACTGGGTGTCAGGTTTCAAAACGATCCGGCCCGTAATCGACCAAAAGTCACAGTCATACATTCTCCGAAACGGACCTCGAATTTAAGACGCCTTGGTCTAAACCCAGGTAGATAGGATTATGGAAAGGACTTAGGCACGTAGCCCCGTTTGTTGCTACCAGCATCGGCCCAACAGTTTTGCATTGTTTGCAGGACTTCGATCACGGTTACCAACACAGTAAGCGATCTCAAAGTCGATTTTGTCGACAAAATTTGCGAATCCTAACGGGATTTGCAGCCGGGTATCTGTAGCCGTCTTTCATTCATTTACATGATAACGAGGGGCAAAACTCCCTTCTGGTATCACCTGGCTCGTCCCGTGCCGTGCGAGGCGTCGTGCAGGTAAAGAACCGAGCAATTCTGAAACGCCATATGTAAGAAGCACATCATTGTTTCCGGAGCTTTCACCGTTCACTGTAACTCCCATCCACGTATGGCGCCTCAGACACAACAGCGCCACGGCCGTCCCCCAACCGGTTCAGTGCGCCGAAAACCTGCCGCGCGCCGCCACGGTCCGCGTGACGTCACGTAATCCTGTCGTCCGGCTCACAGTGAGCTGATGCTGTGCAAGGCGTGCTTGGTCGAGGCGTGTCCCATCTGGGGTGCGAGGAAATGACTCCCGCCCCGTTCAAACGTGAGGGTTGTTTGGCCGCCGGCGTATATACACAGATAGGTACATCAGGATCTCCCAAAAACGGACAGCACTCTTGATAACCGGGACCCGTGATTGTCTTGCGCACGTGGGGAAAATCAACAAAATGCACTGGGCTGACATTTGGTCATGCACACCCTCATCCCTTGACCACGAACTGCAGATTTCCACCGCTGTTGCCGTAATCTTATTCTCATTAGTGGAGTTTGGCGCTAGCTGAGATGAAATATTCGTGTTGTAACAGACGCTGAATGTGATCTGGAACTGAAGACCGAGATCGTTCTGAGAACTTATTAAGCTGGCCAGTACCAAAGGTACTGGCCAGCTTAATGCGTTCAATGAGTACTAAAGGCCGCTGCCAGTGGCGTGCGACTGGATAAAAAGCCACATTTGCGCGTCAGATTTCCCTCCCGGCCCCTGATCTCGAAAGGGGTCCGATGTTTTTCACGAGGCTCGCTGGATCGACACTGGGACAAGGCTCAGTGCTGTAAGGAACTACCTTTGAGCCGTGGAATACCGTCATTCGAGCTGTCGGGCTGGTCCAGAGCCGGCTCTGCGCTGGCTCAGGCATGGTCAGGCCGGTCCAGGGCCGGCTTCGCGCCGGCTCAGGCATAGCCAGGCTGGTCTAGAGCCGGCTCCGCGCTGGCTCAGGCATAGTCAGGCCGGTCCAGAGCCGGCTCCGCGCTGGCTCAGGCATAGTCAGGCTGGTCCAGAGTCGGCTCCGCGCTGGCTCAGGCATAGTCAGACATAGTCAGGCTGGTTCAGAGCCGGCTCCGCGCTGGCTCGGGCATAGTCAGGCCGGTCCAGAGCCGGCTTCGCGCTGGCTCAGGCATAGTCAGGCTGGTCCAGAGTCGGCTCCGCACTGGCTCAGGCATAGTCAGACATAGTCAGGCTGGCTCAGAGCCGGCTCCACGCTGGCTCGGGCATAGTCTGACTGGTTCAGAGCCGGCTCCGCGCTGGCCCACGCTTACAGCAGCCAATACCGGCCAATGCCGACGACATTTGTCGATTGACGCCGACCACGATGTCTGTCTGCGTCTGATCTGCGCCGCAGGAGATGATAATGCGCAGACGGTATAGGGTACAGCCAGCTTGAAGTAGCGCGAGCGACGTCTCTCTCGCTTGCATAGCAACTGCGAATGTCGGGCGGCAACTGCATACGTGCCATTGACAAACTTCCAAAGCCTTGTATGCTCCCAGACTGAGATTGACCTCGATCGTCACCATCAAATGATGTGTCAAGGTAGGCCAGGCCGATACATTTCAGGAGTTCGGAACGAGAACAATAAGCAAAGCATCGTTGCCCTAGCATTGCCAACAGCGTATTCAGAAAGACGCGCAATACGGAGTGAGAGAAATGTAGGCTTCGACGCTTGAGATCGGCTGGCTGCGGCTGGCATTGCTGCGCCTCTGCACAGAGGTCAGGCGTCCGCGGCCGATGGTCGGGGGAGGGGGAGGGGGTAGGCGTGACGCGCGTGGCCGGCGGTGTGCCGTGATCGCGCGCCTGCCGTCCGTGTTCACCGATGTGGGGGCGGCGCGCCGCGGTCGCCGCCGGTCGAGCGCCGCAGAGGTCGGTGGCGCGCCCGCTGCCTTGAACCTGCCCGCTCCGAAATGACAGCGTGACTTAGGGGTATGGAACGCGCCCCAGTTCTGCTTGGTGGTGGATGGGTGGAGTGTGCCTTCATGCTGTCGCTCTGTAGGGGCGGGCCCGAAGGGCGGCCCACAAGGTCCCTCACTCTTACTGATGTGAATATATGTTTTAACCTGCGCACATATATATACATATATATATATATATATATATATATATATATATATATATATATATATTCATATACCTGAATAGGGTTAGACTGGGACCGATGTTTAGCGAAGAACTGCCAGTACTGTTGCTATGATTGAACCAATTGCACTTGCCATTCACATGCACCACTTGCACGAAATGGGATGAAACGGAATGACTTTTTGCACAATTGCACGGAATGAAATATATGTTGGTGCATTGGCCACGCCGGCGCCAGTCGCGTCTGGAAAGGCTTCATGATGGTCTAGCGGATACGCTGGCTCCGGTTTAGGTGCAGTAATGCAAGGACATATTCTGTTAAACTTTTTCGTCAAAGCACATACTTCAAAGCTGTTCGCCACCTCGTGATTGCGGCTTATGCTTCCTGCCAGCCGCACCGTGACGCTCCGAATTCAGAGCAGCTGTGAAACATCCATCTTGGAAGAGCGTCGCGACGTTTGAACACATGACACCCCGCACTGGAAGTCGATTACGTGTCATTTCAGCCTGTCGCGACCCGAATCACGGTCCGAGCAGGTGTGTTTCACAATGCCGGAATACTGCGCCCGCGGTTCGGTCGATGTAACAGCATGCCATTGCCCGGTTACATGACGCCTGTTGGCTGCGGGAGCTCGGCCGCCTCCCGCCAAGCGTTGGCATCATGGCCAGCCCCGCCTCCACGCCGGACTGGCTCTGCTGTCAGCCAGCTGCGTGCGACCCGCGCTGCGGGCAACGAGGCGTTGGCGCGCTCGCCCGACATCCTGGAGGTCTGGAGGTGCATCCAGTGTTCTCGGTGCCGTGCTCCTTCGGTCGCGCGACCGACGTGGGGTCGTGACTGCGTGCGCTGCTCCCGCCGCCCGGCTCGTGTCGCGCTGCCCGTGCTCTGGTTGGAGGTCCCTGCACGGCAGCGTGGGGTCACGACCACGTGCGCTCCTGGCCGCCACCTGCCCGTGCCCCGGCCCGCGGTGCCTGGCGCGGCAGCCTCCGGAGGGTGCTGGAGGCAGCGCTCGGCCGGCCGGCCGCCGCCGTGATCGAGTGCCGTGGGAAGTGTGGCGACCGCCGCCGCCGCCGCCGCCGCCGCGCGGGCGGGCCGCTCGGCGCCGCACGCACGCGCCGGTAGCGGGCCCATCACTCACGCGGCGCATTGCGGTCCGACTGAAGGCACGAACCGACGCGATCGGTGCGTGATTCGGGTTCGCTGCTGTCGGCACGTGCTCACATGCTAACGTGCCCCGGCAGCAGGCGGTGGTACGCTGTCAGTTGCGGAGAGCTGTCATCACTGAACGTTCGGGGTTAGTTAGCGGCTGTTGGGAGGCTCAGTTCTCGTCCTCGTCCGTCCCCTGGGCGCTGCTCGATGCGAGATGGCGCATACTGCGACGGCCCGAGCAGTCGTGGAGGTCAGCCCGCGGGCAGGAATGTCCGAAGTGCATAATGAAACAATGCGGTCGTGTTGTAAATAGCGCCAGTTCCGGTTTCGCGTTGTTATGCCAATGGAATGCGTCTCGCCCCCATGCCGCGAAAGCCGAGTTGTATTGGTTTGTCGAGGTGAGTCAGAGGCCGGGACAGGATCGAGCCAAGCCACACGCGATGGCAGGTTCATCACGGTCAGGAAGAATTGTGGCCGTACTGCAATGGCTACCTTCATTTATGTCTGCTAAACACGAAGTGAGCCGATCAGCGGAAGTGATAACAGCGCCATAGAACATGCCATTGGCATGCATGCAAGGCTTCATTCGCCCGAAGCAGCACCACAGCCAGACTACAATAGCGTATAGCCAAATCGCTGTCCCACGCCCACCACTCGTTCCTCATCTCCATCGCCGTTTTTGAGCTTTGTGCATGCGCGGTATAACGCTGATCACATTTGCCCGGCTCATAGTGGGTAATTTCTCAGAGAACCAAACGCTCTTAAAGTTGAATTCATCGGTTGTTTGAGTGATATGAGCTCGATGGCTGGCTTCTGGATCGTTATTTTTTACGGAGCATAAGTTTTCGAACGTTCAAGTCACGTACCGCCAGTTTACTGCTGCTGCCTTTGAAAATAGCTGCCTCAAAATCGGCAAGCGCCATGACACCGCACGGCGAAGCTGCGCTTCAGTGTGTCTGCCGTCTGTTTCAGCTGGACCATGGTCACAAGCACATCCTGGGCGCGCTGGAGTCGTTTCGAAGGACGCACATCGGAGCGGCCAAGGTGAGATCGCGCGCGTCCGACTCACACCGCAGCGGCGCCGGCGACCCGCCACGGCACTGCCTTGTCACGGCTCCCCGGCGGGCAGCTCCGGTCTTCTGATGCCGAACAGCTGAGCGTCGGACGGCCTCGGCACCGCTGCCCGCCGGCTGGGTCGGGGTGTAGTGTGACGAACGGCAGCGAGAGCGCAGGAGGCACAGCGTGCTGCAGGCGACTGATGTGACCACGCTCAGGTCTGTCTGGTGGGGGGGGGGGGGGGGGGGGGTGAGGATGGACGATGACCCCCTGGTGTTGTCTGCCGGCTGGGCGGTAGCGTCGGCCAGCGGGCTCGAAGTATGTTTGCCTGCACCTTCCTGGCAGAACGGGATCCGATAACGCGTGCGGCGGTAATCTGGACAAGGCGACCGCTGACATTAGCGCCGGCACCAGCATCTGATGCGTGCGTCCCCATCTCTCCGTGGCCCGACAATCCGCGATGACGTGGGGGAGGGGATCTCTGGGGACGAGGACGTGTTGGGCTGGGGCCGGCGGCTGTCGCCACCTCGCCGAGACAAGCGGGCCGGGGCGCCGACACCGCCGCCGCCGTGTGGGCCGACACTTCCGTCCGGTGGCGGCGCTGCAGCCTCTCCGCGTCGTCACCGTCTGCAATCGCCGCCGCTGCCGCCGCCTCCGGAGGCCGGGCCGCTGACTCACCAGCCGGCTCTGGTGGCCGTTGAGCGCGGCTGGACGGACCGTGCCGGCTGCCGGCCGGCACGTGTCCGCCTGGCCGCTCGACCTCCCCTCCCCTTCCCCGCTGTCCGCGCCGGCGTAACGGCCGCCAGCGCAGGAGGAGGCGCGCCGAGCCGGGCGGCGGCGCGGCGCCTGTCGTCTCTGGCCGTGGCGGTGCGACGTCGGCTCCCGGCGCCCGTCGACCGGCGCTGACCCCGTCTCCAGCGTCGCCGGTGGCGGGGTGGGGCGTGGCGACGCTGCCGCCGGACCATGCGGCGCCAGACGCGGCCGTGGCGCAGTGTGACTAAGCCGGGTGACGCGGCGGTGTTTACGTCCGGCCGTTTTTATCAGCTTGTGCAAAGCGTGTCCGCGGTCCCCCCCCCCCCCCCCCCCCCCCCAGGGCGTGGCTAGTCTCGCCGCCTTTGGTGGCAATGCCAGTAGCGCGGCCGTTTGAACCAGTCTCCGGAGTCGGCGGCGAGCGGGAGGCGGTGTGCTCCGGAGCCGGGGCCGGGATCGGTGGAGGAGCACGTCCCGCCGGCGCGGCTCAGTCACGTGCCGCTCCGTACCTGCCCTCCCTCCCCCTCCCCCTCCCCTTGCCCGTACGCTCTGGAATGCGATCGGAAGAGCGTGGGGAGCGGGGAGGGGCGGCACGTCAGCCGGCGGCGGCGGCCGTCGCGGCGCCGGGCTAACTCGGCCAGCAGGGAAGGCCGCCCGGCCGGCACGGGGACGCGCCCGCCGGACCGGGCCCGGCCGGCCGACCGACCGGCCCGGCCGCTGACCCAGCCTCCGCCGGCCGACGGTCCGGACCCAGCGACCCGGGCTGATGCTCCGCGGCGGCACGTGTCGAGGCGGGGGGGGGGGGGGGAGGCTCGGTGTGCGCCGTACATTTGGATCGTGTTTGCGAGCTCTAAGGCAGATGTGTACTCGATTCCGCGTTAGCTGAATGGATTCCAGGTCCGGCGCGCGATACACAGCGTGGAGGCGATTCCGACGCGGGTGCTGAGCAGCTATTAACAATTTTCAGTCTGCTCCGATTCCAGCTCAAATAGGCTTAGCCCAATTACAGAATGGATTCCGATGCATGCGGTCGATCGGAGGACAATCACGGGGTAACAAAGCGTTTTGTCGTCATATGAAAACTGGAATATGACAGAATGTATTAGCACACGCAAATTGGCTCATACCAGCGCGTGTGTTGCATTTGTGCATATATTTGATGACAAGACAGCGGCACAAATAACCAGTGCAATTGACACGCCCTTACAACTCAATACTTACGAAAAGAAGACAGCGCTGAATCTGGAGTTTGTTTTGACTGTTTGAAGATCTTGCTCTGCACATTATTGGTACAGTTGTACTACACCGAACGTATTTTACGCCTGTTCTACACACAGTGTCGGAACGAGAACAGCTGATGTTACTTGCATTTCTACTTAAGTCGACTTATCGATTATATTTACAAACCTGGTTGGCGCTGCCCACGCTCAATCCTGGCCCACGCTAGTTTGAGAAGAAATCGATTTCACCATTACTCAACTCAAGTTAGTTGGATCCCGGAGTCGACTCCACTTGCTCCGTTTCGCAGGCTGGGCCTTAATGGGAGGAAAACTTTTTCAAACAATTTTAGTTTTACTTCATTTTTGAATATTTTTGCACCAGATCTTGCAGTCAACCGATGGAGGTGCAGCCTCTGATAGGCAAACGACTCGACGCATGCACGCCTCCAACTGCCCGTAAAGTAGCTGAGTGTCGAGGCGATTTCTCCCTTTCAGCCTGGCTTGTTGATTCCCTTGTGCATCCCGCTTGGCATTAATTTGTGTGCATTGCGATGTTCTCCTTGGAATGAAATGCTGCGACGCGTCGTAAGGTTAATATCGTACCTAGTTCAAGGTCGTTATGACTGAAGCAAAACGGGCTGTTTACAACTGCGCCAGCATCTGCTGACTGTCCTGCACTTCCAGGAGGGACGCAAGAAATTCGAGAAGCAGACGCAGAAGTTCTGTGCTAGCTTGGAGCGCCACCTGAACCTGTCGACGAAGAAGATGGAGGACCAGGCCATGAAAGAGGTACGGCTTCAGGTGAAGCACAGCGTGCCGGAGGTCGCGCTGACGCGCCGCCGTCGCCGACTCCGCCGGCTTGTTTTCAGAGCGCGTCTGCTTACCAGCGATCGCTATGGTTGAAGCGTTGCCCCGACGCGCCAGCCGCTAAAGTTCAAGGGCATCTAAATTCGTGGTCGCGTTTAGGTCTGTGGCAGCCGGCGTTTGAGGATCGAAAGATTGGGTAGGCGGCGGCACCTCATCGCCATCCACCAAGGTTTATGTATCCGTCTGCTGTCCGGTAGTCGTTTCACGTAGTTACGACAATTCCGATTGTGCTCCAGTGTGACGTAAATTCACGACGTCTTGCGTCGCAAGCGGACGATTCGCGTTCGTCGGGTGCTCACAATGTGTCGTTCCTGCGTCTGCTCATGCCGCTAGCGTGTGCTCTGCTAAGTGGGTAGACGGAGGAGAGGGGACTGGGCCGGTCAGTCCAAGCACGAGATCAGCCCCTGCTTCGGTCGCCGCGGCATGCGGATGTCTGTTCCCGCTCCTGGTCCGGCTAGGCGAGATTGTGTACATTGAACGCAGCAGCGGGTGTGCGCAGCGTCGGACCGCAGGCCGTATATCCTGGTCTGTGTATGGACTGGCTGCGATGGCGTAGCGCTCATCAGTCGGCCTGCCCGCTGCCAGCCCGCTGCCAGCCCGCCGCCGCAGCGCCGACGGCCGGCACAGCCGGGCGTCCGCGTCTGCGGCGGCCAGCCGTGCCGCGACCGCCGCCGCGCCGACCAGACGTCTCAGGGGAGGCGAGGTGTTAAATCCGACGACGATAACAAACACGGCCGCCGCCCGCCGCCGGAGCTGGCCGGACAGGTCTGGTAGCCGTGCTGACCGCCGGGCAGTGGCACGCGTGTGTGCACGGCGGTGTTGCCCCGCTGTCTGGGCGGCGAGGCGTGCGTGCACCGTCGCCCGCCGTCCGCGATTGACCGGCGGGGTTCGCCGGCGGCGGCCGAGGACAGGGCGACGGCTAGCCGACCACCGCCCGGCCGGCCGGCGCCGTCTGGGGTCGGCCGGTATGTCCGTGGCGCCGCGGCGGGCCGGGCCGCCGCCGCCGCTCCGGGACCGCCGCCGCCGCTCCGGGGCCGGCGCTCGTCTCGGCGTTCTTGTTTGCTCCGTGCCGCCCACACATCGCGTGTGGACGGGCTGTTTGAGGCTGCCGACGCGTGGTGAGGCGCCTCGCGCCCGATCGGCGCCGCGCAGCATCGCAGGCCGCGCGCGCGCACCAGCGGCTTCTTCTCCTTTGTTTCGTCACGATCGTGTACGGTTTCACGCCTCAGCCCGCTCCCGTACCGTCCCGGCGCTCAACCCGCGGCACCCGCAGCCCCAACGCACCACCCGCCGTGCCGGCCCGCCGCAGTTGGGGTGTCCGCCGCCGGCACCCGCGCGGCTGCCGGGGTGCGGGCGGGACCGAGATGGTCGGGTGCGACGGGTGCGCGTCGCTGATCAATGGCGGCGACGCGGCGGCCACGCACCGCCGTCCGGCATCGATCGCGACGTGCGCTCAGACGGCGCCGCCATCGAGCGCGCCTTAGCCGCCCGGTGAGCGCGCGCGGGGGAGGAGCGACGTCGCTGCGGCAGCCATGGGCCCGACCGGTGAGTGGGCGGCGCCGCCGGAGCTGGCGCGCCTGCCGACCAGCGACGTTGTCTGTGAGGGGGGGGGGGGGGGGCTTCGAAAATCTGGCCACGCTCGGTTGACGGTCGTGCGTGAAAATCGGGCCGATGCGTAAAGTGCGGTGGGACGGCAGGCATGTCCGACATGAAAGGCACGCAGCTGGCACACTGCTTTCGAATGTGCGTAGATAAGATGAAAGTGAGCCTGCGAGGAGTCGTTTGTGGCTTTGGTTTATGACGCGCGCTGTCGCGCGTGCTTTGACGCGGAAATGGCTCCACTTGTGCGCCAAGAGTCGGGCCTGGCCGCCGAATAATCCTTTGTCCCTGCCCCGAGCGGCTCCTCCTGAGCGGCTCTTTGCCGTGTCTCGCCTGCCACCTGTGCACCTCTGACGGTGCATGCTGCGCTGCTGCGGGCGCGTCGGGCGGCGGTCACCGGCGCGTGCCGGCGGGGCCGCCCGCTGGCCGGCGGACACTGCGGCCAGCACGTCCGCAGCCGGCGGCCGGTGAAAGCACGGCCGGTCGGAGCGCGCCGCGAGCCTGCGCGCCGTTTTCTCCGGCGCCGCGGCCGCCCGCCGGCGCTCCGACCGGCCGGCCGACGGCACGTCCGTCCCGCGGGCTGGGTGATCCCGGCCCGTGGTCCATGGTCCGTGGTCCGTGGTCCGTTGTCCGCGGTCCGCGGTGGCGCCAGGCCGCGCCCCGGACCCGATGCGCTCGTCCGTCGGACCTGCCGTGGACCGTGGTCCGTGGTCCGTGGTCCGTTGACCGTGGTCCGGCGTCCGGCCATCCTGCCGCCGACCGGCTCCTGGACCGGCGCTGGCGGCGGGCCAGCAGGGCGGCTGGATTTCCAGTGCTTTTCCTGAGCACTGGCTGGCGTCCGGTGGGCGGGTGGCCGCTGATGTGGGACGGGGCGCCGCCGTGCAGGGCTATCGCGGCTCGGCAGCGGGCCGCTGAACGGCAGCAGCACCTGGTACAGCGTTGGGCGGCTGTTCACGGCGGGCTGTAGTTTGAGCTGTATCTGGTCGTGGCTGACCCTGCCTCGTTTCCGTTTTGTTTTGGTGTGGAGGTGGGACCACGCAAGTGCCCCCCGCCCAGCCTGACCGCGCCCACCTGAAGCCGAGTCGCCGGGCTCCCCGGCATGTCTGTGCCGGCTGCGGTCGCCCGGCAGGCCCGGGTCGGTCTCGGACCTCGGAGAGGTGTCCTGACTCTTTCGGCTGGCCAGCGGGGCCGGCCGGCGCCCTGACCAGGGCTCTCAGCCCAGCGTCCGCGCTCCGGCCAGCAGGGCCGGCCGGCGCCCTGACCAGGACTCTCAGCCCGGCGTCCGCGCTCCGGCCCGCGGGGCCGGCCGGCGCCCTGACCAGGGCTCTCAGCCCAGCGTCCGCGCTCCGGCCCGCGGGGTCGGCCGGCGCCCTGACCAGGGCTCTCAGCCCGGCGTCCGCGCCCCAGCCAGCAGGGCCGGCCGGCGCCCTGGTCAGGGCTCTCAGCCCGGCGTCCGCGCTCCGGCCCGCGGGGCCGGCCGGCGCCCTGGCCAGGGCTCTCAGCCCAGCGTCCTTGCTCCGGCCCGCGGGGCCGGCCGGCGCCCTAGCCAGGGCTCTCAGCCCAGCGTCCTTGCTCCGGCCCGCGGGGCCGGCCGGCGCCCCGACCGGGGCTCTCAGCCCAGCGTCCGCGCTCCGGCCCGCGGGGCCGGCCGGCGCCCTGGCCAGGGCTCTCAGCCCAGCGTCCTTGCTCTGGCCCGCGGGGCCGGCCGGCGCACGGTCCGAGAACCGCCAGCCGGGCGCCAGCGTCCCGGCTCCGGCGCCCGGTCGACCCCGGATCGATCCGCAGCTGTCCAGTTAGCGTTGTGACCTGCCGGGGCGCGTCTGATGGGCGCCTCATCGACCGGTCGAAAGGTCGGCCGCGGCCAGATTGGTGGGCCGTTCGTGCCCGCGCGGCCGGAGGGGCTCCGCCTGCTGACGGGCGGGCGCCGCCGGGTCCGCGGCGCCGAGCGGCCCACCGGCGGGTCGGCACTGGGGCCTCGGGCCGGCCCACTCATACCGGTGTGGGGTGGTGCCGAGGTACGCGTACAGCTTCCAGCTGCTTATAATCATTGCGATGCGTTTTTATTTGCGCGTGGCAGCCTCTGTCATCATTCTACGGCTCTTTCATAAAAGGACATTCATGAGGTAGCTGAAATGGGACCAGGTAAGGAACATTGGGGTCGTATCGATACTTAACGTGAGTGTTTACATTGGTAGAATACCAAAGTCAGGTGGGCTTCACGCATGCAGTTGGGCTGTGTGGGAACGTAACTGGGCGGCGATACCGTACGGTGCAGTTTTTGTGTGGTCTGGACATCGTATCAGGCCGTCATGTGCCCGGTTCGGGTTCTCACCATATTATCACCACGTATTGCCCGGTAAAATACTCACCTGCGATTGATTCTCCTGGTGCAATCAAATCGTGCGATCCTCCCGCCGTCTTCAGCGAACCAATCGCGCCACCTTCCGCTTGTTTTCCATTTGCCAGCTGGTCACCTGCGAATGAGCTACGCGTGACGTCAGGGTCGAGATGGGTGGCCGCTTTTGACGACGTGCCGCGACATTATCTGATCTGGCGCTGCTGACGTGCTAACGCCCCACAAAGGCCTGCGTCACCACTCCTTCAGTCCGCCGGGGCTATCGCCGGCGCAGCCGACCTCGCGGCTGTCAGGTGGCTCGTCCCCGGGTGCGAGTCGGGCACGAGCCGCCGCGCGCCGCCGCCGGTGTCGAGCGGCGCCGCCTCTCACAGCTGGCGCAGTCACAGTCCGCGCGGACTGCGCGGCCTTTGGTCGGCTCGGAGGGTCGGTCGTGTACCGGACCCTGCCACTGCTGGCTCACGCAGAGACCTGCCGTTGGCCGCGCCGGTCCCGCCCCGCTGATAGATCCGGATCACGTGTGACTCACGGTCGCACTCACGCGCCTCCGACTGAACCTCGCAGCCTGGCGCTTGAACCACGGACCGTCAACCCTGCACCCGAACCCCCGCCGTACAGCGCTGCCTGCAGCGGCCACCGCCGGCCGGCTTTCCATTTCGGCCACGCGCAGGCCGGCCGGCCGTCGACGCCGGCGCTGGGCGTCGGGCCGGGCCGGGCCAGGCCAGGCCGGGCCGGGCCGGAACCGCGTGAGGCCTGCCGCCGATGTAGGCCGGCCTGCGCCGCCGGGCTCGCCCCGGCCGTCACGGCCACTTCACACGCGCCGACGGGCCCAATCACGGCCGCTCGCGCTGCCGCCGCCGCCGCCGTCCGCCCGGCTGCGGACACCGCGCCGGCCGCCGCCGCCGGGGTCACGTGATGAGGTTGATTACGTGTTTATCGGCGACGATTAGGCGTACATAGGCATTTCCAC